TCTGAGCGGGATGGGATGGCGCGCTTGGGGTCCTGCGACAGCGGGGGCGGGGGGCGCGACGGCCTTCTCGGCCCTTCCCACCCCCTCCTATGACTCTCCAGACCCAGGCTCCTGTTCCCTGCCCTCCCACCCACCGAGCTGGCTTTGAGCGCCACCGTCTTCACAGTTGTCCACTCTCCCGCGAGACAGCACCATCTGCAACTGTGCGAAGTCCCCCCTTTAATGAAAATGCCGAGAAGATCCAGAGGCCGGTGTCCCCCGCTGGCAAATTGCACGGTCGCTTTCTTTGCGCGCTGGGAGTGGCGCGAGGCACGGACGATTTCGGAGGAAAAGGCCGGGCCTGGGAAAGGGCGCGCTGCTGTTCCACTGCATTCGGCATGCCAGCAAAGGGCCGTGGGGGCTCCCCGGCCCTCCCCACCCCGCCCGGGGAGGGGCTCCAGCCTTCCGCAGAGGGCAGCCGGGTGCGCAGCCGCTGCCAGCGAGGCGGGAGCAGGGCCGGCCGAGGAGGGGCCGTCCACGCCGCAGGGCTCCTGGGGACACCAGTGGGTGGGCCCCACGCAGCCGGCAGGAGGAGGCCACATCTCGGAGGAGCCGCTGCTCCCGCGCCTTCTCGGAACATCTTCCCCACACGCCCCTTTTTGCCCACTGCCCCTGAAGGCTTCGTGCACCCTGGGCGCTGCCCCCCTTCTCCTCCCATGCTGCCCACTGCAGGGGGCAGTGTTGGCACCTCCCGCTCGAGGGCCAGGGGAGCCCACCGGGTGGCCCCACCGCACGGCGCCCCCTTTCCAGCCCGGGCCAGCGAGCCGAGGGCAGGGGCTCCCGGACACACCCCCGCCGTGGCACCAGCGAGTGTGGCCCACCCGCCCAACTCAGGCAGCCCGAGCAGCGGCACATGGGCAGCCAGCACTGGGCCAGGGTGGGGGCGGGATCCTTCCCTTCCCTTCCCTTGAAAGCAGCACCGGTGGGACACCCCCTGCCTGAGGAACCCAGGAAGGGTCCGCACAGCCAACCCGCTCCTCAGCGCACAAGGCATGCAAGCCAGGCCGCAGCAGCCTGTGCCAGCCGGGCTCCCGCTGCCCCGCACAGGGGCCCGAAGCCCGTGAGTGAGGCAGCGCGGAGCCCAGAGCACCGGCGCAGGCGGCCAGGCCTCCTCGGCCGGCACAGCCCAGCGTGCGTGGTCAGAGACCGCCCCCGCCCCTCTGATGGCCCCCTCGCCTGGTGCTCAAGCACAGGAGGCCCAGAGGCCACAAGCCACAGGAGGCTGGTGAGGAGAGAGCGCAAGGAAGGGGACGGGCCACTGGGGTGCCCTGGACGGGCCACTGGTGCTTCAGCCACTGGGGTGCCATGGACGGGCCACTGGTGCTTCAGCCACTGGGGTGTCCTGGAGCAGCTTCTTTTGAGACAGTTCTTTTTAATATACTTCCGTAAACTAGAAAGAGCACAGCTTTGTTCAAGGATAGAATAATACAAGCAGCAAAAACAAAACCCGGCTCACACGCGAGCGGCCAAGACAGTGGGGAGATGGGTGCAGCAGAGCTCCGGCTGGCGTCTGCCCACGGGGAATGGGGTGCCCCCCCCCACAGTGGCGGTCCTTAGCTCAGCAGCGTTGCGGGGCAGCCCTCGGGCAAGAGCCCTCACCAAGGAGCCGGGCCTCTCCGGCTGCTCCAGCACAGGGCCAGAAGGGTGTCAAGGCGGGAGGCGCTCCTCGAGAAACCCCGAGCTGGGAAGGCCCGGCCCAGCGGGTGACCTGTGCCCAGCGAGGCATCCGCAAGCGGAGCCAGTCCCCGAGAGCGGCAGCTCTGGCATCCGCTGCAGCCCCTCTGCACCCTCAGGCCTCTCTGCAGACGGTCCCCAGGGCCAGCCTCACAGGAGCTAAGCCCCCGGCCGCCGAAGGCCCACAGCCGGAGGCACCCGCACGCGGAGGCAGCACAGGTGTCCCCCGGCATGTGCTGGACTGAGCGCGGGTGCCTTGCCCTGACCCTGGGCTCGAGGCCGGCACTGCCCTGCACGGCGAACGGCTGGCAACTTCCCAAGGTGCTTGGCACAGGTGCTCGGCATGGCGATTGCCACAACCGTGGCCCCAGGAGTTCCAGCAGTCCTCTGGGGCCCTACAAAGCAACTGGCACAGGCAGATCCCAATCCTACCAGGAGGGGGACTTCCAGAAAGCGAATGCTTCCGCTAAAAATCCACCTGCTTTAAAAAGTCCAGAGGGAAGCCCGCAGGGGCCGCAAAGACATCGGCATCACCGAGGCGAAAGGGCCCCGCGGTTCGTCCCCGCAGGACGCTGGAACTGTCCTGCCCTGCCGCTCCCCACCGGGAAGGAGGTGTCCCGGCACTCCCCTCCGCTCCGCGATCGGGGGCAAAGGTGGCGAAGCGCACTCGAGGCCCTGCGGGAGGGGTGGGTGTGTGCGGCCCCCCAGATGTCGCTGGACTGACGCTCCTGTCGGGCCCCACCAGCTCAGCCCGCGGCGCATCCCCCGCCTGCCTGCCGCAAAGCAAGTCATGACAGGAGGGGCCCCCAGAGGGAGGGAGTGGGGAGGGCGCAGGGCTGGTGCTGCCGCAGCAGGAGGAGCAGGGATGGCGAGAAGTGGAGGCCGTCCTCCCCGAGCAGGAAGGGGCACGGAGACCGGGGCGCAGACCGGGACGACCGAGGTGGAGGCCAGCCAGGAGGGCCACCCGTGTGGGAAGGAGACCCGGCCTCCTGCCCGCAGCCAAGACCGCTCGCTCCGCCAGCACCCCCTTGGCGGCGAGGCCGACCCCCAGGCAGCTGAAGGCACGGGCCGCCACGCAGGGCCCGGCCGAGCGGGCAAAGACCCGGCTCCACCTCGGCCTGACCAGGCGCCAGACGAACGGCGGTCGACCGCAACCGAGGCTGAGCAGGTCTGGGTCCGAGGAGCCCTCGAAGGGTGCACCCCCCACCCCCCGGAGGTGCATGCAGCCGCCCGAGCTCCGTGAGGGAAGGAAGAGGTGCAAGAAGCGAGTGCTTTGCGGCCGATGCTCTCGCGGACTGCGTCACAGTGCGCATGGGTTCCCGAAGGCCGAAGACCCAGAAGAAAATGAAGAACGAAAGGCCCGACGGGAGTGACCAGACCGAGGGACCCGAGAGGCCGGGAGCGGTTGCGGCAGGTAGCGTGGCAGGTACGATGAGCCCACCTGCACCCTCCAGAGAGGGAGTGGGACGTGGCGAGGGGCGTGCGCTCGCGGGG